GAAAAGCACTAATAAGCTCCTTGAACTTACCTCAACAAATCTTCCCGATCAGAGAGAATCTGAACAAATACGCTAGTAATTTCTATTCTACAGTTCGCTAGGTATTCGTCTGTTTGTGTGTGTGTGTGTGTGTGTGTGTGTGTGTGTGTGTGTGTGTGTGTGTGTGTGTGTGTGTGTGTGTGTGTGTGTGTGTGTGTGTGTGTGTGCGCGCTCGTGGGCAAAATATCGTTTCATGAAATACTGCCTCATGGAACAGGAAGCGTATTTCGATCACCGCCGTCTTGGGGTATTTTCGTGCACTCCGTTTTTGTTTTCGTGCACTGAGTTTCTAGGGCATGAAACTGTCTCCTGAAGAGAATGGAAAAATCACTACTCGTTTGTCACTGCTAAACTGCTCCTTTAGTTTTCACTTTTCGAGATGCCTTCATGTTTCCTACATCCACTACTGAGCGCATTTCATGTTCAGGTAGAGGCACACTCCGCTACTATGGAAAAAGTCAATCACCCTGTAAATGGGTAAGTCAGGTTCGCAACGAGCGAATATGTGGTTTTTTGCAGCTCGAACGTGGGCTGGAAACGGGCCGCAAAATGGCAATCAGGCCCATGAGGCCTATGTTAAGGTATTGCGTGTGTTGGGATGCTATACGCCCTCTCGCCACACGCCTGCTCTTTAGTCCCATACATTTCATGGCATGCTTCTGCTTGAAATTAGGGTCTTGAGGGCGTTCCCAACGAATTTTTCGCTTTTCTCTCCACTGTTGGGCTAACAAGCACTTTCCCCTTCGAATTCGGACTCCAATACCCAGGATCCGTTATCACGAAATTCGCCGTCGGGAAGCAGAGTAGAACTTCGCTAACGCAGAAGTTGCACAAAACCCGCGACCAAGCCGCACTATCGCTGGCAGTTTCACACAGAGGGAGCTTCCTATTCGCCGAAAGAGGCGGAGTCGTACTTGGTCTGGGTTACTTTTTTCGAATGCTGACTTTTCCGTTTCAGGCGTGGGACGGTGGATATCAGTGCCAAAGTTCCCGATTCCCGACAGCATCATGTCCGCGCATCCCTTCCTTGTAAGCTGCACAATTAAAAGGAAGTTGAAGTCAGTTTCTTACGCTTTCAAACGGAATTACTTTGTGTGCCCTTTATTGTAGTTTCTATTGTTTCTAGTGTTTCAATTTTGCTTAGGTGAGCAAATTCGACTACACCATAGTCTTATTCGCGGAAAAGACTGGAAAAAGAACTCTCGACTTCACTGCCCTCCTTGCTAACTTCAAATTATCGGTAAAACTGCGTGGTATTACAAACATTGTGCTATCATTCTAAAACACAACGCACTTTTTTGGTGAGTGTCCGCCGATTTTTAAAAAAAACCTGCCATTTGATTCCACTCAACGGGTTGAGAAAAAAGCGTGGTACGGCTTCCAGATCATAAGGGGAACAGAGAAATGATTGGATTTGAATCACCACAAGTTCTTACCGAGAATAACAATTTTTCTGGAAATGTGCTCAAAGTATTTCGCCGAAAATGACGTGCATTTAGGATAAGGCAGCAAACTGTGATTGATTGAAGCTACTTCTCTAACTGATAATAAATTCTAGAACGTAGAGGCGGAGAGATAAATTCCCATCAGGAGAGAACTGACTGCGCTCGACTTATCGATGAAGCCTTTCTCTGTGAGTGATGCCGTCATTACTACATAATACTAGGCAAAAAAAGCAACAATAGCAACTGAGCTTTTTGGAAGATGACTTGCTAACAATGAGTCAAATGGTTCTCAATGACATATCTCATGGCCGTGAGCTAAATCTCAGGGCTACATAACGGGAGCGCAGCAATTTAGGACGCCTCCATGAACACCCCTGTTGGTCTGTCATCGGTGCGGCTGAATTTAACTTCTGCGCATATGCTGCGCGTCATACATAAAAATTGGGATGTCCACAATTTTTGAGATCTCAAACTTGCTGATTTGGAGAAATGTAGCGACCAATGGAATCCTTGTGCCGAGAAACCATGATCACGTCTTTCTAGAATGTGTACTGATGCATGGGGTTTGAGTTGGAGAAGAATTTATCTCTCCGCCTCTACGTTCTAGAATTTATTATCAGTTAGAGAAGTAGCTTCAATCAATCACAGTTTGCTGCCTTATCCTAAATGCACGTCATTTTCGGCGAAATACTTTGAGCACATTTCCAGAAAAATTGTTATTCTCGGTAAGAACTTGTGGTGATTCAAATCCAATCATTTCTCTGTTCCCCTTATGATCTGGAAGCCGTACCACGCTTTTTTCTCAACCCGTTGAGTGGAATCAAATGGCAGGTTTTTTTTTAAAAATCGGCGGACACTCACCAAAAAAGTGCGTTGTGTTTTTAGAATGATGCACAATGTTATGTAATACCACGCAGTTTTACCGATAATTTGAAGTTAGCAAGGAGGGCAGTGAAGTCGAGAGTTCTTTTTCCAGTCTTTTCCGCGAATAAGACTATGGTGTAGTCGAATTTGCTCACCTAAGCAAAATTGAAACACTAGAAACAATAGAAACTACAATAAAGGGCACACAAAGTAATTCCGTTTGAAAGCGTAAGAAACTGACTGTCCCCTTAATTGTGCAGCTTACAAGGAAGGGATGCGCGGACATGATGCTGTCGGGAATCGGGAACTTTGGCACTGATATCCAACCGTCCCACGCCTGAAACGGAAAAGTCAGCATTCGAAAAAAGTAACCCAGACCAAGTACGACTCCGCCTCTTTCGGCGAATAGGAAGCTCCCTCTGTGTGAAACTGCCAGCGATAGTGCGGCTTGGTCGCGGGTTTTGTGCAACTTCTGCGTTAGCGAAGTTCTACTCTGGCAGTTCCGCGACGGCAGGAATTTCGGTGATAGACGGGATCTGTGTATTGAGTCCGAATTCGAAGGGGAAAGTGCTTGTTAGCCCAACAGTGGAGAGAAAAGCGAAAAATTCGTTGGGAACGCCCTCAAGACCCTAATTTCAAGCAGAAGCATGCCATGAAATGTATGGGACTAAAGAGCAGGCGTGTGGCGAGAGGGCGTATAGCATCCCAACACACGCAATACCTTAACATAGGCCTCATGGGCCTGATTGCCATTTTGCGGCCCGTTTCCAGCCCACGTTCGAGCTGCAAAAAACCACATATTCGCTCGTTGCGAACCTGACTTACCCATTTACAGGGTGATTGACTTTTTCCATAGTAGCGGAGTGTGCCTCTACCTGAACATGAAATGCGCTCAGTAGTGGATGTAGGAAACATGAAGGCATCTCGAAAAGTGAAAACTAAAGGAGCAGTTTAGCAGTGACAAACGAGTAGTGATTTTTCCATTCTCTTCAGGAGACAGTTTCATGCCCTAGAAAGTAACTGACTGCGCTCGACTTATCGATGAAGCCTTTCTCTGTGAGTGATGCCGTCATTACTACATAATACTAGGCAAAAAAAGCAACAATAGCAACTGAGCTTTTTGGAAGATGACTTGCTAACAATGAGTCAAATGGTTCTCAATGACATATCTCATGGCCGTGAGCTAAATCTCAGGGCTACATAACGGGAGCGCAGCAATTTAGGACGCCTCCATGAACACCCCTGTTGGTCTGTCATCGGTGCGGCTGAATTTAACTTCTGCGCATATGCTGCGCGTCATACATAAAAATTGGGATGTCCACAATTTTTGAGATCTCAAACTTGCTGATTTGGAGAAATGTAGCGGCCAATGGAATCCTTGTGCCGAGAAACCATGATCACGTCTTTCTAGAATGTGTTCATAACGAAAGAACTAGGTATTCTCCGAAAAATATTTAAACAATATAAACAAACTTCGTTACAGGAAAACTGACAAATTCTCGACATGAGAAACTAATCGATTCCCGTGGCATTTCTCCAGACAACAGGTTTGGAATAGTAAAATTCCACGCGATACGCAGGTGCGTATGTCGTTTAGAGGAAGCTTCAAGATAACACGGAAACAAATACAACTTAACCGGTAAGCAAGTCCCTGTGCCTTTGACAGTCTTCCAGACTTTTTGATACATTGGGACTCTGTGAATTCCTGTCAACGTGCACTACGAATTTGTAAGCCTTGGGAAGGATTTTGAAATGACGCCTGTAAAATTGTACGAGTCTTTTTTCGCCAGTTGCACTCTGTTTGCCGTCCCAATTTACTCTAATCCAAACCTGTTGTGCCTTCTGGAAAATGCTATGTGAATCAATGGACTGCTATGGGAATTCAGATTCGTGCGATAAGGTGTGAAGCGTGGAGCGGCTTTCTCCTCAGAAGTGCCATCCTGAGTCAGCAGCAACTGATGGGAAGGGTTGTTCTGGCTGCGATCCAACTCGCGCCCGTCACGCACCCTATCGTTTGCACGGATCATAACTACATAATTAGGGCTAGAAGATCGAAGAAACGATTGTGAGCTGAAGAACAAGGATTTTTGCTTGACCTCGACAAAAGAGGCTCTAAGGCGGATGAACGAGTCCCGTCGCAGAAACGAGTTTTCGTACCTCGTAAGATGTGCACAGGATCTGACAAAATGGCCCGGCAGCTCTCAGTGTGTTGCGAAGAACTGACAAAATGCCCCAATACGTTACACTGGCGCCATCTTCAATTTCTCTTCCATTCATCACCACATCCATTACATTTACTACAGGCTCTTTTTCTAATGATTATAGCACGTGAATGAAGTAAGTTCCCACCACTAGGAACGAACTAAAACGGTAATGCATAAAATAGCTCGAAGTGAGCAACAAGTAATATCACCACACCCATTACATTACATACATCAGCAATCAGCTGATGCTGCAGATAAAACTGCAAACACGGAGATGCACCCCTAACTGAAAAAACGGAAATGCACCTCAGTAATGATGACATTAGCCACTGCATTTCGCGGACTTCTGACTATACGTGATTAAAGTTGTTAGATAAGGACTAGCTCGGCCTCGAAATTTGGCATCGAGTTCGTATTTTTTTCTCCAAACCTGTTTAATTGGACATTTTCAAAGACAGGTTTGGGTGACTCGGAAGCAACAGCATAACAAGGCACTACATGGAACTTCTTTAAGGGACTGTATGTGACGAAAACGGCGGCGACTAACGAACCTGTCCATGAACTGCGTCAGTCGAACATACGCTATACAAGCACCTTCCTCACCCATCACGTGAACATTTGGATTCAGCATAGTAGTATGTAATTGACCTTTTCGAGGATTGTTGTTGCCTAAATGCTTTGTATTACTTCAGCAAAAAAAGAAACAAAAGACATTCATTTGATCACATTTAAACTCGCTCGGCTTCAAATTAAAAATTTCATTACACTTCCAGAAAAAAACGATAATGCACATCTGGTATTGCGGCAATTCTATTCGACGCAGCTCTATTCTTTGCACAATTCACTCTATGAAGCCTATCATGTCCGCGGGTTTTTGATCCTAAATTTCCTAAAAAGTCCAGTTTTAACCGGTGCTTCAAAATTCCCCCTAGGTGCTGTTGATGGGATGGTGGTCCAGAGTCATATTACAGGAAATCCGAGACCAGGTATTGTGCGTGAACGGATTCCCGCTAAACAACTGGAACGGAAGAAAGCAAATCATCGATTGCTGATTTCTAGAGCTGAAGCGTTTAAAGAAAACGCGGACATGACAGTAGTGAATTAAAGACTAGGCAGTCCCCTCGATTCTCCTCGAGCTGTTCAATGTGACGTCAGCGTTCAATATCGGTCCGGTGTTCACGAGGAAACATAGGTCTTCCCGCTCCAGGAGCTTACGATCCATATCATCAACCCGTGGCTTAGCGACTGCGGTGAATGATATCCTGGACCGTAGCGACGTTGTCGGAGCTGCTCGATGTTGGAGGTCTTCCAGATCAAGAGTACTGGTCTCCAGGTAGCTATCCATGGGTGACTCCATACTAGAAGTTTCGCAGCTGTTTGGAGGTGACATGAATTCCAAAGGTCTTCAGTCAGGCTGCGACTGGAGATGACTTCATATTTTGGTGTACATGAAGGTGATGGGCGAGAGCCAGCTCCTGCTTATCGAGGAACATCTTGGGTATCTTCCGCCCTGGTACTCGTATCCTCTGTCTGGGCTGCGAAAACTTTGCTGATATGTGACTCGACCAAAGTGTTTTTTTGCCCCCCCCCCCTGTATCCACTCGGTACCGCGCACAAATTTTAGACTGATAAGACGACGAGTGTCATAAGGCAAACGCAACCAGCATATATAGCACCAATAAAACGAAAAAAAGCCGCGAAAAGTCAACAATGAGAACAAACAGAAAGACATTTGTAATCCTTTGCAACACGGCAATTTTCTCTTAAAGGCAGTTACGACCCCTTCCTCCTACCGGGGATTCCCTTAAGTAGAACGTGCCCTGAACCAGCGCATGCACGCCGTAATTCTGCCATAATGTCGTATATACCAATAAATCCCCAGGGAAACGAGAGAAAACAGATAAAAATAAGCGCAGCTGTCGCTGTCAACATCAAACACATCTCAATCCTGCTTGCTTGCGTCATCGACCCCACAAACTTTAAAAAGAATAAAAATAAGCAGGTAATCAATTAAGGGGATAGCCGAACTATAATACTTGAGATCTTACCATAATCAAAGTAGAACCGATGAAACTCGACGCCTTCGATCAAATTTCCTAGTGCTTCTGGCTCGAAACAAGTCATCGCCGGATCGCATAGTTTCCTGAAACGAGGGGATTAGTCACGTCACCTCACTTGCTTTTGAGAAATGCCGACGATCGATTATGGTTACGACGAAACGCGCATTAAAAACGAGCTGTGGTGTCCTAATTGCCAGCAAGGTTGGAGAATTGCATGCATGTTGCGTGCAATTACGATGCATTGCCGTTGTCATCAATGCAAAATTGCGTTATTGGGACCACGAAAACAGGGAATAAAGATCGGGAATTTGAACAAGTTGTTCAAATTTTATATTACATGGGAATACTCATCTATTGAACAATGGATTCCGTAAAGTAATAAATTCTTACGTGTAGACATCGAAATCCTTGCATGAGATAGCGTCGAGCAGCTGTTGCGTCACCCGTACGATTTCTTGCTTTTGAGCTGGAATCGATAATAATACGGTAATGGACTTGATAATGCGTCATTTGATAAATTCCATATTCAAGGAACTTTGTCACTAAACTAGTATGCACACACCATGCATTATAGAGTGAAAACAAACAACGCCTTCAAACTGCAATTTAGAAACACATAAGGAAGCTGTCCTTTGCTCAATATTGCTCGATATATCAATTTTCGAGGTAGGAGCGATAGATGACGCTTTTTTTAATCAGAACGCTGGCCTGATTTCCCAATGCAGATGTAAATTGGAAAATGACCGATAACAAATTACCCAGCTTTAACGCCATCAATAAAGTAGATTCTCAACCTAAACAGGCATTACTACGGCTGATAATCAATATATCGACCGGCGTTCTGAGAAACAGGATACCGCTCAGACTGGCAATCAATATATCGATCGCCGCTATGAGTAACCAGGTCACCGTCCAGGCTGATAATCAATATATCGATCGGCGTTCCGAATAAACAGGTCATCGCCCGGGCTGATAATCAATATATCGATCGGCGTTCTGCCTAGTTCGAAGCGCTACGAGATAGGACAGTTCCTTATTTTGTGCACAACATCATGAGCCCATGAGAAAACCATCGTAATTGTAAGTGCAACACTTCGTGAGTTTCTTCTTTCCAATCGAAATATCGATAGAATCGCTTAGTTAGCAAAGGTGTATCGAATTTTGAAAAGATTTAGTCTTTGTGTACGAACGTGAAGCCGGCGCGTGTTAACGCCATAACCATAAAAGCCGCAATTTTAGTGCCCCATTGTGTAACACATATTAACATTGGCAGAGACTTATAGTGGTCACTTTTCGAGCTGTACTAGCTCAGATTTCTGGCTTCTACGCGACCATATCGACGTTTAAAGCAGAAGTGCAAACGGGATTAGCAAAATCCTGACTCTAGCTCCTTTACTATTGATTCTCCCCTCAAAATGCTCTGAGAAGAGGGTATAATACGATAAGAATCTGCTCAGGGTACCACTCCCAAACTCACTGATGAGAATGAATCGGTCACCTCGTCACTATTTGGAGTCAGAGGACCCCCCCCCCTTTGCTAGAGATATCAAGGAGTAAATCTATCTGGACGTACCGAAGACCCGAGAGAACTACATTTGGGAGGATCGAATGGTTGCGATAGTCAAAGGAACGAGATAATGGAAAAGGACCAAAATAAGTGAATTAAGAAATATCGAGGAAAGCTCGGTAAAATCGAAAAGGTACCTATACTCATCGTTGCCTCGAGGCCGTCGTTCGCATTTCATAAAGGGCGAATAGTGGTGACGGCGAGTGTCAGGTGCGGGAAACCAACGAATGGCGACGGAAATTCACGATGAGCTCAGAGGGGGAGGAACGGCCGCGCCGGCCGCAACGAGTGAGAAAAGATGGAATATGGCGTGAACTCGAACAAACAGCCGGGTCAGGTGTCGCGCCCAGGGAATAACCATCCAGGAGGCGTGTCACTGATGCTTCCCGTGTATCAGCGGCCATCCTTCATTGATAACGCCTCTTGTGCTCGTTCGTTCACAATACATCACAGCTATACTGCGAATCACGATGATCGACATGCTACTGCTTCGACTAAGCCCCTCCACGATTATCGTAAGCTCTCATACGTCAGTCATGTGAGCGGCACGAGGGGCTAAATTCTGACGTGAGTTCGTTTTGAGAATCACCCTCAATGAGGGTGACATAATCGGGCATCGTCTAATGTTGATTCAAAATTTATGCGTCCTGTCAAACATCACAGCGATACCACGTCCTATCCAGCCGAATATGACCACGTCCCTGAACATGCACCAAAACCGGTCCCAGTAAATATGGAAATAGATTGATGTACTCATGTGTGGTAAAAAACAAGCTTTTTGCTTTCCAAAATCATGGCATCGACATGTGAAAACATATAACCGGTTGGTGTATGTTTGGGGACCACCTCTGACCTGCATTTCCGCAAAGACATAAATACAAACTCCCTTGCGATACAAAGTGATTGGGTAAAGGCCAAGGCAGTCCACCAATCTCCGTGTTCACCTGTGAGGCATTTCACGTTGCCGAAAAAGGCCTAATACTAAGCCTAGCCACTGACAAACATTTCACCTTAGAAGCGTAAAGACCTGCCTACACAACTTCCTAAGCACCTATCAAAAAATTTCGGCAACAATCCTGTGGTAAGACTCAAGATTGACGTCTTAGGCGCTAGGGGGCGCTATAGGCGCGAGCGGGGCCACAGAAGCGTTTTTAGTTCCGTGTACAATGTCCAGCAAAAGGAATGATTACGTGAACCCTTATCGTTTGCCCGGAGCTAAAGGGAACCGTTGCAGCTGGCCAAAACGATAAGGTTCTTGGTTGAGTAGATTGAAATGAAAGCTCTCCGCGCCGTTCCAGGTCCTTTACAGCCACGAATAGTTGAACTGCCAGGAAAGAAAGGGTTCTCCCAACAGACCCAACAAGGCATAGGAAAATGCATAATTATTAGGTCGCCTTATATAAACACGTGGAAAAAGATGGAGGACAGGCAGGCGAGCGAAGCGGTTAGGGTCATGGGCTTTTGTGTCGTTTGAGGACTGGCTTTTTTAGCTAGACATTCGTGGAATTCGAGACACTTGAGAAATGCAACTCGAGGAATCCTGCTGCAGTCGTTGGACGAGTTACTTTCGAAAAATCGGGGATGGTCGAGAGGGTATACAGGGGGCCAAAAAAAGACATTTCGACCGAGTCACATATCAGCAAAGTTTTCGCAGCCCAGACAGAGGACGTGGATACGAGTACCAGGGCGGAAGATACCCAAGATGTTCCTCGATAAGCAGGAGCTGGCTCTCGCCCATCACCTTCATGTACACCAAAATATGAAGTCATCTCCCGCAGCCTGACTGGAGAAGACCTTTGGAATTCATGTCACCTCCAAACAGCTGCGAAACTTCTAGTATGGAGTCACCCATGGAGGAGACCAGTACTCTCGATCTGGAAGACCTCCATCATCGAGCAGCTCCGTCAACGTCGCTACGGTCTAGGACATCATCTTCACCTCAGTCGCCAAGGCGCCAGTTGATGGTGGGGACCGGACGTACCTGGAATGGAGAGACCGATATTTTCTTCGTGGGCCCCGGACTGAAGGTGAGCGCTGGCGGTTACATCGAGCAACTCGAGAAGAATATCCTCTCCACATGTCGTCGCCCGTACCTTCTTGGAAACTTTGTACTGCTACAGCATTGGGTGACACCACATGGAATCGAAGGGCGTTGGAAAAACTCTCGCCTACTTGGAATGGAAGGGCGCTTGAGTACCTGACTCAGGCACCCACTCACGGTCGCGTGGCAGAATCTCTCGATGGCGCTCCTCCAGAAGGCTGTGGCGGAGTGTCATAATAGTATTTGATATGCTCTTTAATATGGTGGTAGAAATGTCCGATGAGAATTTGATAAAGTGTCACGTATAGCGTCTCGAAAGTCAAGGAACGAAAAATCTTTTTTGGCCTGCCCTGTATAATTTGAAATGCTCTTTCGCTTATATGAAGCACGAACTGCTGAATCGACTTCGATGTCCTAGGGCAGTTCAGTATTCTCCACCGCGGGACGGTCATTGGCTACTGCTGCAAAAGCTCAACCGGCCGCTAGATGAACATAATGAATGGGCCTCCTAGCCAACCGAAACTCACAAACGTCGACTTCGTTGAACACATGTGGAACCGATGTCAGTGGGATACGTGGGTCCCATGCGGATAATTATCATGGCACCAGAGATTTGTGCATTAAGGCTTTGAGCGGCTCCATCAAAACCTAACCTAATTGAAAAAACTATCAGTTTTTGGTCAAGTATAGTACACTGTTTTCCCAGGGGCAGATTGACAAATGGATGGTATTAGGTTGACCGGAAAGTTTCCCGCCATTGAATTGGTGAGGAATCCAACGGCCAAGCTTTGCGACTTTACCAATCTTCTCCAGCCCAGATTCAACAGTTGATTGGGCATGGCCGAGCATCGCTGCAAGTTCCCTGGTAGTGGCGTACGGATCCTCTTCCACGGTGGATTGCAGCAACTTCAAGTCTAACTCCATCGGCCGGCCGGACTGAGCTCTGAAGAAAAATCTCCTTTCTTGAACTTGGCCATCCAGGTCTTGCACGTGTCGTAAGAGATAGCGTCAGCGCCATATGTATCCACTATCTTGGCTTGGGCTTCCTTGCGTTCAAGCCAGACTGATGAAGGAAAAGAAGACAGTGCCTCAGGTGCATCCTGTCGGGTTGAAACTTGGGCGGCATTTTGGAATCCAAATGCAAGCTGGGTGAGTGTGAGGTAGTGATGTGAAAGAGTCTCTTGCGTGCTTCATGCACACCCCACGATAAGTCATAAACATACATGCAAGGCTAATATGGTGCGATCAAACACGTGGCGGGAAACTTTCCGGTCAACCTAATACAAGAAGGCCATCGTTGCTCTTCACAATGTCAGGCCCCAATTGGGCGTATTACTGGGTACTGTTCCGACAGAACAACACCGAGACCTGGATTGAGTTGCCTTATTCCTCCGACCTAAGCCTTGTGATTTCAGTTGCTGCTGTCAACAGAAGCCACCGTCCAGTGACTAACGGTAGGACAATTTGCCGATCGCCCAAATTATTCAGCATCAACAAATTTTGTTCGCACTCGCTTGAAGAAACGAAGATGCTAGGTGTCCAAATGCTCCTTGAATAGTGGGAGCGGACTGACTCATGATGCCGAATCTGATTAGCCTCAAAATATTTCTTTTTTTTCTTAGTTTTATTTGAAGCCCTTCCACGTTTCTGAAAGAGATGACCTAATACATGTCAAGATTTCAAGAACGCCCAACCGGGAGGGGCGCACATACCAAGACCTTCGAAAAAGCGATGGTCATTGCTTTGCTTTATGACTGAAGAGCTGATAACAGCCAGTGAAAATATCCGTGAAAACGCTCACAAACGCGCGCTCCACAAGTTGCTGTCCCTGGGTCCTAACTGCTTTCTTGGCACGGGTTATCACCTTCTTGTTGAACACAAGAGGTCGCAATCGGTTGCTAAGTGGAGGGTGGCCGCAGTTGCCCTCGAAAAATTTTCTTGGTTGTGAATTTCCCACGTTT